GGGGGTGATTATGTGTATACGGCTTGTGTGGCACCAAGCACTGTCTTATGAACATGGGCACAAACGATCCACATCATCGCCCAAAGGGTATGAGAAAGCCAGGACAATACTGGGAAAAAAGGATTTCAAATGGTTTCGTTCCATCATCAGAAAAAAACTATCCAAACAACAATATGTCAATCTTTTAACCTTATAATTTGTCAGTAATGTGTTGTTACACTGAAACTAAGCAGTTCCTGCACGTTCTGCTTGGTGCATTTGAAGAAACTGTGTAAAAATACATGTGCATATGAAACAAAGACATGGGGCTTTTGCCGATGTTGGACTAGCCTCATTAAGGATTCCTTTAATTAAGTATTCTCTTGATTTTCCCATTTTTTCCCCCCACATTTAGCCCACTGTCCCCTTTCTTACACCCCACTGACCTACCTTTGGCACTTGCTTCATTGCTAGTACATACGTAGAGCAGACAGCTGCAAGGGCACCATGATTACACACACTTGTGGACTCACACTTTTAGCAAATGCATTCTTGGCTTGCTAAAGGAAATGCCTTTAGGTAGAGTAGGCAGCTTTACTAACCTCTTGTTTGCGCGGTGATTATTGCCTTCTCTTGCACACAAACACATTGTTTGAGTCATTACAGTGATTAAAGGCTGAAATACCCAAGGTCAGCAAATTATATTCAACGAGGAATGTAAATGCTTATAATAAATGTGACTTTTCTCTTCAGTGATTGCTGTACTATAAACATCATCTTTTAAATGGACAAAGACATAATAGAGGAAGTTATTAAGACCGTGATTTCATCTGTTTGGTAGGGAATCCCTCAGAAAACTAACATTCTGTTTCGCCCACAGTAAATATCCTGCAGTGTTAATAGACTTGTCTGACTTAACGTCGGAAAGTATGAAGACAATTGTGGTTATGGTTACAGTCCATAAAATGCGTATGCGTGTGTAAAGGCAAGCCCGTGTATATCACATGAGAACCATGCTGTTTGTGATTACTGGAAAGAGAGCAAAGCCAGATGTTCATCAGTGACTCAGTGAGAAAAGGTAAAGAAAACCTGTGGAGACAGACAGAGATGGCAGAGGGTGGCACCAGAAAAATTTAGATTTTCTTATTTACAGTATACACTCCAGCATAAACACAACCAAAGAGCAGAGTCAAGCAACTGGCAAGGTTTATTTACAACAAGATTTCAACTTGTAAACTTCAATAGGAAATGAAAGCTTTACTGCTTGTAAAAACACAGTATTTAGCTATGTTAAAAACAGCACTAATGAGGCAGGCAGTGAGTTGCAGGTGCAGGAAGCAAGCCATGGGCAGAATCAGAGGTGATCGATCCAACAAAGAGTAAAGAGAAAAAGGTTGACGGAGAGACACAGAGAAAGAAAGCAGAATAAAACTCCAAGCCTGCATAAAATCCTAACTTACAATTAAAGACGCAGAAAAAAATTGTGATCTAAAGACTTTGTTTGATTTCCAGGGGTCCAGTCAGATTGTCCTTTTCACAATGGGTCCAACTGTACTGAAGATCGCTGTCAGACAAGAACGTGTAATGTACGTGTTTGATATTCAGTCGCAACAAAATAATAATGAAAAACAATAAATGAATCTAAAGAAATCTGCTGGTCCTGTTTCCTGTTCATTGCTTATGTTATGTTTATTTTTCTTCATTTAAATAGGAGGATAACAGGCAGTGCCCTCAACAGCCGTGCGCTCCTCAAAACTGCCCAGGAGAGAATGTACCTGACTGTCAGAGAAGAACATGTAATGTGAGTATTTAATAATTAACCACAACAGATGATTTTCAAACACATTTAATGAGCTCAAACAACCTTTCTCGCACTGTTTTCTGTTGATTCTTTCTCTCATTTTTGTTTCTCTTCATTTAAATAGGAGGATAACAGGCAGTGCCCTCAACAGCCGTGCCCTCCTCAAAACTGCCCACAGGAAAATGTACCTGACTGTCAGACACGAACGTGTGATGTGAGTATTTCATATTTTTCCATAAGAAATGGAAAAATGTTTAATAAGTTTGAAGAAGTCTTCTGCTCCTATTTTTCATTCCTTTTTTCTTATTTTTTCATTTTAATAGGAGGATAACAGGCAGTGTCCTCAACAGCGATGCCCTAATCAAGACTGCAGAGAGGAGAATGTACCTGACTGTCAGACAAGAACGTGTAATGTGAGTATTTAATAATTAACCACATGACAGTCAAAAACATTTAATGAATTTAAAGAACTTTTCTGGCACTGCTTTCAGTTCATTCTTTCAAAGAGCGATATAAAAGACCCCTGTGAGTATACGATCAAGGGAACAGTTCATCCTGCGTAGGGTATGGTCACCAGGGCCCCGCCCTGAAGCCAGGCCCGGGGAGGGTGCCTGAGGGTGAGCGTCTGGTTGGCCACTTGTGTGTTCTCAGAATCAAATCCCTGCTTTTTGCAGTTGATGTTGTTCTGTTGCCTTCATCGGGCGATGGCCTCCAGCTCGCACCGGAATGGTTCGCAGCATGTGTTAAGTCAAGTGTGAAGCAATGAAAATGAGAATCAGCACCTCCAAATCTCAGGCCATGGTCCTCAGCTGGAAAAAGGGGAAGTGCCCACTCTGGTTAGGGATGAGTTCCTGCCCCAAGTGGAGGAGTTTCTTGAAGTCTTGTTCACGAGTGACGAGAGAAGGGAGCGGGAGATCTACAGACGGGTTGGTGTTGTGGCTACAGTGATGGGGATGTTGTACCGGTCCTTTCTTGGTGAAGAGAGGGCTGAGTGTAAACGTGAAGCTCTCCATTTACCGGTTGATCGAGATTCCTACCCTAACCTATGGTCATGAGCTGTGGGTAGTGACTGAAGGAACAGATTACGGACACAAGCGGCAGAAATTAGCTTCCTTTGAAGGGTGGCTGGCCTCTCCCTTAGAGATAATGCGCAAAAAGATGGATGGATGGCTCTTTCTCTCATTTTACTTTCTTTTCATTTAAATAGGAGGATAACAGGCAGTGCCCTCAACAGCCAAGCCCTCCTCAAAACTGCCCACAGGAAAATGTACCTGACTGTCAGACACGAACATGTGATGTGAGTATTTCATTCTTTTCCATAATAAACAACAATCAAAAATATTTAATAAGCTTGAAGAAGTCTGCTGGTCCAATTTTCCATTCCTTTTTTTATTTTTTTGTTTGTCTTCCTTTTAATCATAGGATAACAGGCAGTGCCCTCAACAGCCATGCCCTAATCAAGACTGCAGAGAGGAAAATGTAACTGGGTGTCAGACACGAACGTGTGATGTGAGTATTTCATATTTTTCCATAATAAATAACAATCAAAAATATTTAATAAGCTTGAAGAATTCTGCTGGTCCTATTTTCCATTCCTTTTTTTATTTTTTTGTTTGTCTTCCTTTTAATCATAGGATAACAGGCAGTGCCCTCAACAGCCATGCCCTAATCAAGACTGCAGAGAGGAAAATGTAACTGGGTGTCAGACACGAACGTGTGATGTGAGTATTTCATATTTTTCCATAATAAATAACAATCAAAAATATTTAATAAGCTTGAAGAATTCTGCTGGTCCTATTTTCCATTCCTTTTTTCTCATTTTTTGTTTCTCTTCCTTTTAATAATAGGATAATAGGCAGTGCCCTCAACAGCCATGCCCTAATCAAGACTGCAGAGAGGAAAATGTACCTGGCTGTCAGACACAAACGTGCAATGTAAGTATTTGATGTTTACTTCATAATAAATAACAATCAAAAATATTAAATAAGCTTAAGAAGTCTTTTGGCCCTTTTTTCCATTCCTTTTCTCATTTTGTGTTTCTCTTCATTTGAATAGGAGGATAACAGGGAGTGCCCCCCTCAAGACTGCCCACAGGGGAATGTACCTGTAGGCTGTGCCCAGCAAATCACAGGTAAGTACAGAGAAGATAAGGTATACTAAACACATTTGAGAGGAACTAAACTTGCCTATTTGGCAAGGTACACATTAATTCATTTTATGCACACTGGTAACTCTGTCTGGCATTCACTGTATCATTTCTTTTTCTTTCTTTTGGCTGGTTCCTTTAGGGGTCACCACAGCAGAGCATCTCCCTCCATCTCACCCTATCCCTTGCATCCTCTTCTGTCATACCAACCCTCTGCATGTACCCCTTCACCACATCCATGCTTTTTACTGTATCACCCATGGTGCATAACTTGTAAGCCTACACTGGCATTTTTATAGCTATCCAAAATAATTCTGCATTCCACTTTTTTACTATAACAAATAGCATGTGCTGTCCTAATCACATATACTCAAATTTCCAGTTGTCAATGTCACAAAAATTGACAGGACTCAACAAATATGAAAACAAATGGACCTTCTTGTTGGTTTCGGGTTGTTAGGAACTCTGTACTGAGAATCTTTCTTGCAGAAAGGTTTAGGGTGGATAAAAATCTGTTTAGATGTACAGATTAATATCTTCATACCTAGAAGCACAGGAATAGTACAATAATGTGATGTGTGTTTACAGGTTGCACCCATTCTGGTGTAAATTATAACAATGGAGACTCTTGGAGGTCGGTGGAGAGTCCTTGTGATATCTGCCAGTGTTTGGTGGGTTTGACAGCAACTACATGCTCAGGTTTTCATCTGGTCACTCACCTTCATCTCTAATAATGCTGTTCACTCTTCATCACAGGACGGTTATGTTCGCTGTGAGAGGGAGCAGTGTTACACTCCCTGTAGAAACCCTACTGCTCCTCCTCCAAATACCTGCTGTCCAGTCTGTGAAGGTGGGCTTAATTGCTTTGTGTAAGAAGATTTGTATATTTGTTAGACTGTAGAGAGACACAATGTGTCTATTTGTGTGTCTTGTAGGCTGTGATGTGAATGGACATGAAGTCCCCAATGGAGCTGTGATCCCTGTTGGAGACCCCTGTGAAGAGTGTAGATGTGAGGTGTGTCTATAAGTTAACATTAGATTTGATTTTCATGTGTGTAAATGAATTGAGGATCATTTTTTTTGTTCTTTCTCTCAAAGAATGGAAATATGGTGTGTTCACGCGTTCGCTGTTCTGCTCCATCTTGTAACAATCCAGTGTATCATGCTGGGGAGTGTTGTCCACGGTAACAAGCCCGCCTACCACCATCATCCGTATCATATTTAAGCCTGTACAGTTTCACCTTTTTTGTTGTTTTTAAATATATTTAATCAATGTTTACGTGAACCTGTAGATGCGAGCAGTGTGAATATGAGTCCGAAGTGTATGTGAATGGAGAGAGGTTCACCTCAAAGAGAGACCCCTGCCTCCAATGCTACTGCTCTGTGAGTTTAAACTGACAAAGTCTGAATAAAAATGTATCAAAACTTACAGAGTAGCCATGATATTTGTGACAACTAAGGTTAAAAGAATAAGTGATACATATTCAATTTCTTTGCTAGGCAGGTCAAGTGTCATGTGAACACATGGCTGCATTATGTCCTACGCTACAGTGTACTCATCCAGCTAGGCACAGAGGAGAGTGTTGTGCCTCATGCAATGGTCAGTGTCAAAATATGCATCTAGTTCCTGCTACATTTCAACTTTCACAGAAACAACCAATCAGCTATTTGTGTTTGTTCCTCCAGAGTGTGAGTATGAACAGAGGGTGTATGCTGATGGGGAAATTTTCAGCCCTTCTGGGGGTGGACCCTGCCTGCAGTGCAGGTGTAAGGCAAGTTTATGCAATATACACCCAAAGAAAGTGTGTGTCTAGTGCAAAAATCTCTTTGTTTTTTCACTCAAGAGGAGGCATGATTCTTCATTTGTTTCATGCGTTTTTCTTTTCTAGATCATAGCACTTTTTATGCCCATTAATATCTTTGACATTTCTTTTGTTGCTTCTCTGGTTTAGAGTGGAAATGTAATTTGCAACGAAGAAAAGTGCCCTCCTGTCCGCTGCTCCAATCCGATTAGACACCCACATCTTTGTTGTCCAGTCTGCAAAAGTAACTTCTGACTCATACACATTTAGAGTGCAGGTTCATACGAGTGAGTGTCCTGTATGAAAACCTTCTTTTCTCATTGCAGCATGTGAACTGGATGGAGTGGAATATGATGAGGGGTCCAACTGGCAGCCTGAGGGTCCTTGTTCCAGCTGTACCTGTGCAAATGGAGAGGCCTTATGCACACGCACACAGTGTGCTGCCAACAACTGTCTGCATCCCACCAGGATTACTGGTAAGACTGTGACCCTAACTCTTATAAATGCTATATTTATTACACATTAATTGAAATATGTCTTTTTTGTTTTGTTTTAATTTTGATGATTAGGCCGTGTGTCTGGTGAAAATCAGGCATCTATATATCAAACTATGATCAGTCAAGCCAGCCTACTCGGTAAAGGCTTACTCTCCTTGAGGAGTGTGGACATTTTCAAGTCAGCAGGCTTCCCCATGAGTGTGGTTGTGTCTGCTGAACTTTGTGAAATGAATGTGTAAAATATTACGTTTATGTTTCTTAATTAAATTGTGGAAAAAATGAACTTTTTCACAAATTCCACATTTTTTGAGATACTTTAACAAACTGAATACTCTGTCTCGTTTTTTAGGCTCCTGTTGTTCAGTCTGTGAAAGCTGCACTTATAACCAACGTGTCTATAGCAATGGTCAGAGTTTCGCGACCCCTGACCAACCTTGCCACACCTGCACTTGTCTGGTAAGAATCCATTCATTAACACATTCCCTGTCACTTTTTATCTTTGCACCTGCTAACATCTTCTCCTTTCATCTTATGCTCAGCATGGCACTGTTCAGTGTGAGAGACAATCTTGTCCTCAGCTTAACTGCAGGGACTCCTACACCCCACCTGGAGACTGTTGCCCCAGATGTCGAGGTACCTAAAACTCAGACTGTGATTCTTATCATAGGTAAACGTGATCTATTCTGAGTGAGGTGACTGTAATGTGTGTGTTTGTTCTTGTCAGACTGCTCCTATGAAAACCGTGTGTTTTTGAATGGAGACGTTTTTCCCAACCCCGTGAGTGTGTGTGAGGAGTGCACATGTGCGAGTGGAAGGATTGACTGCCATCAGGCACAATGTTCTGAGCCTCGCTGTAATGCACCGATGCCTGGGCAGTGCTGCCAGAACAACTGCAATGGTGAGAAAGTTTACATTTACTGTAAGGAAAATAAACAACTCTGAGAAATTAGGATCTCATAATTACAACATTGCTTGTTTTACTGCTGCAGGCTGCAGGTATGCAGGGAAAGAATATTCCAATGGACAACAATTTCCCCATCCTACTGACTCATGCAGGACATGCAGCTGCACTGTAAGAATAATGAGTACAACACCTAATTCAATAACATGTTGCCTTCTTAAAGCAGGTTTTCATTTCTGTTTGTGTTTGTCATAGAATGGAAATGTCCAGTGTCTGATGAAGAGGTGTCCACCACTGACCTGCTCTAATCCTCATGTGATACAAGGAGAGTGCTGTCCCCAGTGTCCTGGTAAGGATATGCAAGAACAGAGTCCTTCTGGGGCGCTTGTTTGAAAAGTTATTTTAAAGCATTAGCTAAATGAATTTCCAGTGCAACAGTAAAATTGCATGAGAGAATCACCAGCCAAATATGCCACAAAATAGAGTTTTAAAAAGCCTTTTTTCGCTGTTATACAAGCCATTTTTGCTCTTGCAGAATTCTCCTTATCTTTTTTGATGACTTAAAATATCTAGAAAAAGTAGTACAAAGCACAGTTACCCCCCTCAAATAAAAAAATTCACGAATCTACTTTGAACCAAGAAAAAAGCACTCTTCGTCACTCCACAATTCAAAGGTTTACACTAGTAATGTAAACTACATCTAGTAATAGTTTTTTTGAGTAAAGACAAAGGTAGGGGAAGGCATATACAGAAGCAGCAAAAGAGGGGGAAAGGTAGGAGTTTGGAGATGAGAGTAGGGACTCTAAATGTAGGAATTATGATTGGTAAAGGAAGAAAGGTGGCTGATGTGATGGAGAAAAAGGACGCTAGATAGGAAGGCTGTGTGCACAAAAGGCAAGGAGCATCGGAGGTGGATTTAAACTGTTCTACCATGGTGACAATAAGGAGCCAAATGGAGGGGGGATAATCTCAAAGGAGGAGAGATTGAACAGACTTACGTGGACACGTAGATATTGACAACCGAGGCAGTGAGGTGCTGGATAGGTATGTGATAAGCAGAGAAATGTGGAAGGAAAGATGGCAGTTGGCTTTGCAAAAAGGATGAAAATTTTTGGGAAAGCATATTTCAAGAAGGGAGAAGAACAGGGTAGGATAGGGTAAGATAGGAAAGAGTGGAGACAGGCGGACTACATCTTGTGCAGAGGGTGCAATCTGAAAGAGGTTGGAGACTGCAAGTGGAGAATGTAGCTAAGCAGCTTCATTAGGTAGTCTGTAGTGTGAATTTGGAAATCAAGAACAGAAAGCAAGTGAAGGCAGAGGCAAGGATTAAATAATGGGAGTTGAAGAAGAGTGCAGAGTTCAGGAGGAAGGAGTTGAGGCAGGCTCTGGGTTGTAGGAAAGAATTAGCAGATGACTGGGAAATTAAAACTTAGGTGGTGAGGGAAACTGCCAAGAGTGGAGATGCTATGATTGTTGTTGGGAGTAACCAGGATGGACAGGATTAGAAATATTAGGAACAGCTTAGGTTGAGGTTAGAGGCAACGCTAGGGAGGCGAACTTGAAATGGGCTGGACATGTGCAGAGGAAAGAGAGTGGATGTAGGGGGTAAATGGTTTTGAATATGAAGTTGCCAGGCAGGAGGAAAAGAGGAAGACCACAGAGGAGTGTCATGGATGTAGCGAAGGAGGACATGGAGAAAGTTTGTGTGACTGAAGAGGATGCTAGAGATTGGGTGAAATGGAGGCAGACAATCTGCTGTGACGATGGAGGAGGAAGAGGAATAATAGCAGTTTCAGGACTACACTGCAAATAGGAACTGGTCAAATACTGTGTTTGTATGCTTTACATACATATATAATGAGAGAATAGTATAATATAATTTAAATATAAATACAAAAATTATTTGGTGATGGCAAAATATAAGTTATACCAACGACTATGAAGCTGACTCCTGAAAGTTTTTATGGTAAATAATTTCACAGTTTTTGTTTTCTTCAGCTCCTCAGTCAGACTGTGTGTATGAACAAAGCTCCTACAGTCACTTGGAGCATTTCAGCGACCCCAATAACGACTGTCGATCATGTGCCTGCACCAACGGGACAGTTCGCTGTAAACGAAAGCGCTGCCCGTTCGCTCACTGTTCTCACCCCATCAAACAAGACTGCTGTCGGAGCTGCGAAGGTACAAGTTGTCATGTCCTTAATTAAAGATCAGAACACTACTGATATTTGATGCAGTTGTTTATTGCGTCTTTATTATCAATTATTTTTCTCTCTCTCTCTTTTTCTCAGGCTGCTTATATGAAGATCAACAGCGAGTTAATGGGGAGATGTGGGATAACCCATCAGAGCCATGTGTTGAGTGTGCTTGCCGTGACGGCTCTGTCCAGTGTCAGAGGAAACGCTGTCCTCCCTCCAACTGTAAACACCCAGTCCAGAGAGATTGCTGCATGTCCTGTGATGGTGAGAACCTGAGCCAATGCACCAATCACTGGCCTCAGTTAAAGTCATTTAAAAATGATCTTTTTTTGCGTGTATTAAACTGTAAATTTCTTCTTGCAGGCTGCATGTATAATGGTAGAGAATATCTTGACGGCACTGAGTTTCATGATGGCAGCGACCCCTGTGTTGTCTGTCACTGTTACGGAGGCGATGTCACGTGCTCCAGGATACCCTGTGATGAAAAATGCAGTCACCCTTACAAACCACCAAGACAATGCTGTGGAGAATGTGACCGTATGAACGCTTAATAAACTAACTGTGCCCACACTGATATTTTCCCCCAATTTTTACAATTTGACCAACTAAACACAACTTTATTTGACAGGCTGTTCCTATAATGGCGCAGTCCTCATCAATGGACAGTCCATTCCTGACCCAGGAAACCCTTGCTATGAATGTATTTGCCAGGTAGTATCAGCACACCCACACAGACATTCCTATTAGCTTTAGACACCATGTCATGCTTATTTCTCTTACAGAGAGGCTCGGTGCAATGTAGGAGGAAGCGGTGTCCTGAAGCCCTTTGTCCTAATCCAGTCACTGATGCTTGTGGTTGCCCAGTTTGTGGAGGTATCAGCGATCAACACATCACAGCTCATGTTAAGTAGAATAAGTAGGTAACTGATGCTTTATTGTGTATGCAGGTTGTCGTTTTGAAGGTCTGACTTATGCTGATGGACAGATTCTCCTTGAACAAGAAAAAGCGTGCGAGGACTGCAGATGTTCAGTGAGCGAGAGCAACGCATTATTTAAACCGCTTATTAAGTTCACCATCATGGCATCATGTTTTATTTTTGTTTGGGTTTTGGTTGTTTTTTTTAGAGAGGAGAGGTAGTGTGTGAGCAAAGAAAATGCCCTGCTGTGTCATGCCCACATCCAACTCTCAACAGCTGCGCATGTGAAGTGTGTGATGGATGTAACTTCTATGGACGCGACTGTTTGAGTGGGGAGCAATTTGCACACCCTACAGATAGCTGTCAGCGCTGCTCCTGTCAGGTACTGCCATGCATCATTTTCAGCTCTATCAACTGTGACATTCAGTATACACAGAAAAATCAGAAATCAGAAACTTTAGAGATTACAGGCTTATATTAAGAACCAGACCTGCAAATATCTGTCATTTCAGATCATGTATGCTCTGAAAGTTTATAGCTTGCTTTTTCACAGAAGATGGCAGATGTTATTTGATATGCACCAGTTGCAAATGATTCCCTAGTTCCAACTGAGCATTGTTCAAATGCCACAACCAACACGAGTATTGTTTCTGCCCATGTCTATCACTTTATGACCACAGAGCACCATACTGCTGCATTGAGCAGGATAACGCACAAAGCTCAGATCATCTTAAACTGGTTTGTTGAGCGTGACAATAAGTTCACTGTAGTCACATAGCCTCCAGAGTCACCAGAGCCCAATCCAACAGAGCACCTTTAAATATTGAAATATTATCCCTGTAAAGAAACATTTGAGGACTTAAAAGAAGCAAGCTACAAATGTTTTGTAACCACGTGTAAACCATTTAAACAGTATATGTTACTTAAGGAAGATACATTTAGCTAACAATTTGTTTAATAGCACAACCCTAACCCCATCAGCACATTACAATTTGGTGAATTTTTCTTTTATTTTGAAAAACTGCCAGGAAATGTTTTCACTCCCTGTTGTTTTAATATTTGTTAGTTTGTTTAAAAAATATTATTACAGTTTCCCTCATGAGGCTTTGATGGATATTTTATTTTTATATATATTTATTTTATTATATCTAAAAAGACTTTGGTTTAACTACTTTCAAAAGGTTATGTGTTTTTATTGTAAAAAAAAGTCTTGTCTCTAACATATGTATCTATCCACAATTCAAAAAGACTAAATCTAACACTGAAACTAATAAAAACATAACTAAAATTAAATATTTTCAAACAATAAAAACTAAACCGAAACAAAAAACTGAATTAAAACTGAAGTAAAAACAAAAAGTCAAAATGAAATAAAATTAAAAACTCATTTAAAACTATAATAACTCTTCATATTAGAAGTGACTTTTTACCAGGCATTAATTTGCACTTGCTTTTTGTGTGTGTGTTTGTATGTGTGTTGTGTAGAATGGTGGTGTGGTATGTGAGCAGGAATCTTGTCCAAGCATTACCTGTAGCAATCCAGTGACGCGTCCTGGGGAATGCTGCCCCGTCTGTGACTGCTGTTTCTATGAGGATGCTGTTTATTCTAACGGCGAAAGCTTCAGGCCCCCATCAAACCAATGCCAGAGCTGCACCTGTGTCGCGGGCACTGTTGAATGTGTGTCCGACGGCTGCCAACAAGCACCCTGCGCTCAACACGTTTCCATGTCAGAGCCGTGCTCAGGTACATCCTGAAACGATAAACACACAGCCAACAATTCATTATAAAGAAAGCTAGGATCCCGTATGTATTCACTTTTTAAATATAACAAGGGCTTCACAGAAAATTAACCTGCATTAGTATGTAATCTTTACTGTTTTCACACTGTTAAACAGAAATGTCACAGAAGTACAAAGAGTATAAATCCCATTTTGAATTCAAGCACCTGATCACAAAAATTACACATCTCAACAACTTGGAACACGTTATTTTCACCTTTTATGGACTAATTTGGAAATCTGCTTCCTTTGGACGAAGACTTAATAAGACGCTCACTAACTTGAGACGCTGAATCACTGACTTTTATCATTTTGTTCCTGGTTACAACCCCTGTAACAAGAAGTCAGTTGTCTACCCAGACCCCTTGACCCTGTCACCACTTTATTTTGTCATAATAAGTCTTTGTTTAGTCCTTGATCTTGTCACCCAGTTGTTGTCTTCCAGACCCTCCACCTTATATGTTTTGTCACTGTTTAACACTTGCATGTAAACCATGCCCATACTCTTGTTCACCAGTATAAATGTTGTGTTTTGTCAGTGGGTCAGGGTTGGATTACCTTCCCAGACTCACTCTCTGAATTGGTACCAGAATACTCAATAAACATACCACCACAGCAAACTTTCAACAGTTTGGTCCCGTGATCCATTTGGTAATACGTTTAGTTGGAGACTGTCACTAAGTGGTCAGTGATCCTTTTGAAAACACAGTTATTGTTCCTGTGTGCTGTCTAAGGTCTGTGGAACTGCATGGCCTTAAGATTTGACTAAATTGCTTAAGGTTTTGACATTTTAGTTACCAGAGGACTGAAGAACAGAAAAATGAAATGACATATGGGTTCATAGTGGGAGTAGGAGTACATCAGGAATGTGCTTTGAGCCAATTCTCGTTTGCAATGCTGATGGACAGTCTGACAGAGAAAGACAGACTGGAGTCTTTGTGGACTTTATATTTCTAGACAATATTGTGATCTATAGTGAGAGTGGTTTAGAGTCAGTGGCACTATTAAAAAAACGAAAAAAAAGACAAGAGACGGAGTTCAAGGTGGCAGAGTTAAGATGCTAAGATTCTGATTAGGAGTGACCAGAATTGACAGGATATGAAATGAATATATTAGAGGCTCAGCTGAGGTTGAGCATTTTGGAAAGGTTAGAGAGGCAAGGCTGAGATGATTTGGACATGTGCAGAGGAGGGATGGTGTGTATGTTTGGCAAAGGATGTTTAGTATGGAGTTGCCAGGCTGCCAGGAAAAGAGGAAGGCCACAGAGAAGATTCATGTAGTGAACGAGGACATGCCGAGAGTTGGCGTGGCAGAAAAAGAGGCTGGGGATAGGGTGAAATAGAGGCTGATAAACCGCTGTGGTGACCCATAATGACAGCAGGTGAAAGAAGAAGAAGTTAGAGATTATTGGGAAAACATCATAACAATTTGTGTTTTTCTTTGTTGTGACGTCATTGCATGTTTTCTTTTGTTTGTCAGAACTTGTCTGTTTCTTTTGTGAAATGTCGTTTGATGTTTTCTTTTCCCCCCTTCAAAGTTCTACAAGAAAAACCAAAGAACATATTAATGTGATTCTGCTGGGATGAAAGGAGCCTTTAGGAGAAGTTAGTGGAGCATTCTTAACGCTGAGAATGAGTGTGAGGTTGAAAGCGAAAGAAATTCATTTAAAAAAATGTGGGGCCCAAACATCAATCAATGAGATTAACAGGTCTCTTCAGCACATGGGCTCTACTTACTCATCACTATTGGTACCACAATATAAGGCAATGCAGACAGTGAAAAATGTGGTGCAAGACTCAAAGCCTACATGTGGCTGAAGAACAAGCTGAAAATATAGATACCTAAAAGAGGAAGTTCCAGGTGTACTGTATGACCTTCTACTGGTCAATGAAGAAAGAGGTCATGACCATCATCCAGCACATATCACCACCTTGCACCATTCCCTGGCAGCTGCAGTGTGTGTGTTTTCGTCCCAACGATGGCTTTGCCTGCAGTATAATTTCACAAACCCGGATGATTTCAATTACAGCCAACATCAGGTGAAGGCTCAGCTGATACCCTTCTGTGCATTCTATTGGCCATATCTCATATGGGATGTGCTACTTAAGCTGCTTCAGCCTGCAACAGCTACTGTTACCCCACAAGCTCCTTTACACACCCACATTTTCCATTTTGTGCTTTTAATGCTACTTCTGACTTAATTCAATGCTTATTGTCACCGATAACCTGCTCTGTTCTGTCAGGACTCCTGATCGTGCTCTCCCTGCCTTTACCCTTTTCATGCAGAATGATGGGGAGGCTCAAAAACCTTGTGTCCAATTTTAAATTACTGTAGTTGAGAGAGAAGTAATATAAGTAATTCTGACAGAACTAAATAATATATCCTACACTACAACTTTACACAGTTTTTTTCTTCCACACTCAATCTTCTACCTTTTTGTCAGTTTTTAACATTTATGTTTAAACCATAGCCCACTCACAGTCGCTTGTTCATCAGTCTTAATGCCATATTTTGTCGGCTTACCTTCCCAGGCCTGCACTCTGGGTTGGTAATCCCACCCTGTACTGTAATATACACAACATTAGAACAAACTCTGACTGACTTCTCCAACATTTTCTTTCTCTGCTACTCTTGGTCATGTGACTCAGTATGTATGCTGAATGGACAGGAGTTCAGTGATGGGCAGACGTGGACCCTGAGTTCAAACCACTGCTCCACCTGCATCTGTAAGGTCTGACTTTATAAATCTTGTTTGCAGATATAGATTTTATTCTTCTCCATATTTCCCACCTTTCTTGTATTGAAGTGCTGATCTGTGATATTCTCACAGGCAGGTGAGGTGCATTGTGCAGTTCCTGAGTGTCCTAAGCTTGCTTGTGTGCATCAGGTGACTGATCCAGGAGCCTGCTGTCCTCGTTGTAGAGGTAAATAAACTAATGGAAGCTCTGATCACAGGAGGAATAGTTTGTCAGTGACTCACTTTTCCTTCTCAGGTTGTGTTTATGCGGGAGAGGAGCATACAGAGGGCAGCAGCTGGTTTGCAGACTCAACTCCATGTATGACATGTATGTGCGTGGATGGTGTGACCACCTGCTCTGAAGTACACTGTCTGTCTCCATGTGTTAACTTCATCAGTGTGCCTGGGGAGTGCTGCCCAATGTGTGCTGGTAAGCATATTCGCCTTACATTTTCTTAGTTTCTGTTTCTGTGCAGTCTCTCCCAGTAGTGAAACCCATACGTAGCCATACAGTAGTGAAAGCCATACATTTAATATAAAATATATGTGTTCATATTCTTTTATTGTCACAATCTGTCATTATTTTTTGAGCAGACTGTGTATTTGAGGGCAAAGTATATGGACCAGGGGACAGTTTCCATCCAGCCAATGACCCCTGTCAGATCTGCACATGTGAGGTATGAAACAAATAAAAATCATCTCTGTATTGGATCATGAAATTTTGGTTTAGGTTATTTTTTTATTATAACTTATTGGCTATACTAAATCTGTGTTTAAAACAGGGAATTCACAGTCTTACAGTTTCATTACTCAGATTGATAGTGAGATTCTAGATATGCCATTACTGTACTGACACAAATGACAAGATCTTATCTCATGTGTGTTTTAAAAATGGTATGAAAATATCATGTGACAACCTTAGAATAAACGTTTTTACAGTTCTCAGATCTGATCCTTGTGTTGTGGAATGCTTTTTCAATACTGTTTCCCAGTTTTCCTGTCTTTGTGTGTCTCTGTGCTTAGTTATCTTCTAGATTTCCTGTTTCACTTTGTCAGTTAGCATCTCTTTGGTGTGTTGTCTTGGGCTTGCTTCCTGTTTGCTGATTACCTTGATTATGTTTAGCTGTTTCTCATTCCCTTCCTGTCCCCACTTAGCCAGTTATCTTTATGTATAAATCCTATCTTCTCTTCACTCTCTGTTGTGCCGTCTGTTATACTTCCAGTTGTGTTTCCCGTTTTTTTCTACTAAGTGCCTTTAGTTTTTGTTACTTTGCTTTATGGAATTTGTTCAGTCTGCCTTCCACACCCTATTTGTGTCACACAATGTGCGATCCGTGCAGGGTTTAGTATTTAAAGTCAAAGTGATGAATGATGTTTTCAAAGTCAGTTAAGCTTCAGTTCTACTTACTGTAGCAAAATTGCTTGAAGCAGTAAAAACAGAAAGACAGAAATAACGTAAAAATAATGCAAGGATTTCTCTTTGGAAGATATTTGATTTCAGTGAGATTTCATCATTAAATAAATATAGATAGATGGATAAATGGAGTGATAGAAGCTGTAATAGTAAAATCTGAAGCAGTTTCTTGACATTTTGGGTGTTTCTCAGGTGATGCCGGATGGAGAACAGCACCTGAAGTGTTACCGAAAGCAGTGTCCCAGTCTGGTTGACTGTCCTAAGGGCAACATCTTGTTCTCTGGACCGGACTCTTGCTGTCCTGTCTGTGCACGTTAGTAGCAAACAAATGAATAAATAAATTATATGTGTATTATCTCTGCAGTATTGCTGAGCTCTCTAACATATGTGTCTATGTTTAGAGCCTCTCAGTAACTGTACCCCTGCACTGATTGGTAATGAGGTGTTGGCAACAGATGACCCCTGTTTTACCTGCCAGTGTAAGGTAAAACAACAACACTTTGGTGTGATACCTCACAGATATGGAATAAAATATTTACAGTTAGGATATTTCAGCAACTACAGAGTTTCATTATGGGGTGATGCTGTCTTTGGGTGATCTCCCGTACAGGACCTGACATGGACTTGCTTACACAAAGTCTGCCCACTACTCACCTGTCCTCTAAATGAGCAGTTCACCCCTCCAGACTCATGCTGCCCAGTGTGTAAAGGTATAATGTGATAGAACAGCAGCAGTCTTAACATTTAGATTCTTGGTATTAATACATCTCTGTATATGTTGGCTCTCCTCTGTTCCTTGCAGATTGTGTAATTGAGGATCAGAACAGGCGTGTTGTGAACGGCACCAGCTGGAAAGACAGCAAAGATGACTGTGTCACATGCACCTGTTTTGTAAGTCAACAGAAATCTAGACACCCATCATAAAGAACTTAAAGTAATGACTGACATAGCATTGAAATGTGGCATATATATATATATATTATACACAGAAATACAGGTGGAAGGGTTTAGTTTTTGAGGAATGACTTAAAAGACACAAAAAGAAGGGTCCAGCGCTCTCCAGCTGCAAATACTGAGGGGTTGATTTTGGTCGTTAAGCTAAGGAAAACACTTAAATTTCACCTAACTGAAGACATAATATTAATATGATTCTCCATTCACACATACATACATCTGATCCAACTTATCCCCTATCCAATTCATGGTCTTGGGAGTGTTGGAGCCTATCCCAGTTGACATAGGGCGAGAGGCAGGGTATTCTGGAAAGATCTCCAATCACAAGGGTTAAAATCAACACTTAACCTAAACCCATGCATGTCTTTGGACTGTGGGAGAAAACTAGAGAATGCAGAGAGAACCCACGCAGAGAACATGCTAACTCCACACAGAAAGGCCACAGCCTTAGGTGGAAGGCACACCAGCACGTTGCCACTAATGTTATATTTAAAAAACAGCATTTCTAAAATAGACCTATTTTTATTTACTGAGATTATTTTCTTCAGAAGTCTGTTTGTGGTTGCATTCTCAGTTGGGCTACATTGAGTGCAGCATTGAAGAGTGTTTACCTGCCATTTGTCTGGAAGGACAAAAGCAAGTGAAACTTCCTGGGAGATGCTGCTATGAATGTCAAGGTATCACAAAATAAAAACAGCTGCTGGCTTTTCACCTCTGGGTATTCAACACTGGAATGATGTGACAGATGGATGGGGTGTATTCTTTACAAAGATTAAACTTTGTTGTGCATATGTGTTGTAGACTCGGAGGTGTCGTGTTTGTACCAGGGGACAGTGTTTCACTCCAATGAACACTGGGAGGTGGATGAATGCACCAGCTGCACGTGTTTGTCTGGAGACGTACACTGTCGCAGTGAACGCTGCCCTCCCCTCACCTGTGCAAATGTGAGTGTTATTGAAAAACACACACACAAATTTTTTTTAATGGCGTTTCATGATTATCTGAAATGTTCCCATGAGCTCACCCATCAATTTGCAGAGAATCAGTAATTATCTGACGTTTCTCATCTGTGTTCACACGCTGGCTATTTTCACAGAGCACATTTTGTCACTGCAGACTTTTTGTTTTTTAAATCATTTTAGGTTCATCATATTCTCACACAGCCAGTGTTAACACAGTCTGTTTGTGTGTTTTACTGCCAGGATGAGATGCCTGCAGTTATCCCAGGTTTGTGTTGTCCTCATTGCCTTCCTCGTCCAGCTACTTGCAGTGCCTTTGGCGATCCTCATTACCGGACCTTCGATGGCCGCATGCTGCACTTCCAGGGAACGTGCACATATGTCCTGACACAGGATTGTGAGAGTGGAGATTTCAGGTGATATTCATCCCAAACAATAGCTATAATAATTAATTGTATAAAAAGTAGTGCTGTCAATAGATTAAAAATAATTAACAAATTAATCTCACAATTATCTGTAATTAATTGCGATTAATCACAATTACTTGATCCTGATAACTTGATTTTTTTCAGCTTTATATTTAAGCTTCTAACTGACATTTATGCAATATAATAAAGTAAATGTAGAATAAACAAGAAATTCAAATTCAAATAGAATTTGAATAGTTTTCTTCAATCTTCTCCGCATTAAAACCTTTAACGCATTAATTGCGTTAAAGGTTTTAATCGCAATGGGGATTAATTCGCGTTAACTCGTTAATTTTCGGTGGCGCTAATATATATATATACATACATAGACAGAATCGTTTTGAGTATTTTGAGTCATTGTGTGCTCCAGATGTGTTCATCGAGTTAAAATTTATAAACGCGTTGAGCATGATGGTGGATTATTTTGCATTAATGCGTTAATTTTGACAGCACTAATGAAAAAGAGATTCTTTTTCTGTTCAAACAAACCAGAACAGTACTGGTTCTGTGTTGAGGTTGATGATATGAAGTACCTCCCCAAGAGGTGCAGTTGCCATCATTGCCTCACAGAAAAAATAGTCTTGGACATCCTAGCTGGCTGGAACTGGAGGTGTTTCAGAAAATAGATGCATTGTTATTGTATTTAAAGCACAAAATTTTGCTAAAAGGTAACAAGTAACAAAACAAGAAAGCACATTTTTGTTTTTACAGTGTTCATGCTACAAATGATGATCGTGGACGTAAAGGAGTGTCCTGGACTAAAGAGGTTACTGTGTTTTTGGGTGATGTCACAGTGCAGCTACTGCAGGATTGGATTGTGAAGGTTTGTATGTAAATAGACCATAAAGGGTTTTACCCAGTGAATTTTATGCTTAGTGCATTCACTCATCCATCTCCTCTTTTATCCAGGTGAATGATGAGGCTGTAACTTTGCCATTTCTCAGGGAACCATACATCTATATCGAACGGCAAACCAACACAATTTTACTCAACACTAACATTGGTCTGAAGGTGCAGTACTCTTTGTTTTTCTGTCTCTTTACCTTCTCACAAATTTGGTCACTCCCAGTTTTGTAACAAACTGGTACATCCACTCGCCCACCTTAGGTGCTGTGGAGTCCTCGTTCACATGTAGAAGTAAGTGTGCCAGGCTCCTATAAGGGCCACACCTGTGGACTTTGTGGAAACTTCAACAACTACTACCAGGATGACCTCCGGATGCCAAATGGACGAATCACCCTATCTGAGTCTGAATTTGGAAACAGCTGGAGGGTAAAATCAATACACAGCAGTAATACAGAGACTCTATAAAATACATAGCTTATCACTAATTTTGACCGCATGCAAATGAAATAACTTTTTGTCATTTAAGGTCACAAATGGTACCCATTTCCGCTCCTCCTGTCGTCCTGGCGAGAATGTTGACCCTTGTAAGGATGCAGGCTACCAGGCCAAGAAGGGGGCCAACACTCGCTGTAAAATCCTGAAGTCTGCCATCTTTAAGCCCTGTCATCCCGTGGTGCCTCCTGAACAGTGGTACGGAGCTTGTGTTTACGACCTCTGTGCTTGCGGTGCAAATACTGATGACTGTCTTTGTGACACGTTGGAGGCCTACGCGAGCCAGTGCAGAGCAGCAGGAGTCATCGTGCAGTGGAGGAGCGCGTCTCTGTGTGGTGAGTAAATCACCAGAAAGTGGCAAATATACTCTAGGATGTATATTATCATTTCACATCGAGCGTGCATGCCGGCAACCAGCTGTCAGCTTCATAACCAACTTTAAACTGTCACGGGCCCAGCTTTTTAAATTTTGGGTCTTGTCTAGTTTTCAGTTGGTTTCAGTTCATGTTTTATATCCTGAGTTTCTGTGTATTCCTGTCTTCTTAATGTTCCCATGTGTGTCCTAACCTCATCCCTGTGTTTTGTCCTTGGTGTTTCCTTCTTTGTGTTTGTTTCCTTTTCTGTCTTTGTTTCAGGTCTGTGTTTCTGTTCTCATGTTCTGCTACTTCCTGTTTTATTTTGATAGTCTCTCATCTTGTTTGCTCTAATCTCCTCTTGGCTATTTTGACTAAAATGTGTTCTTTGTCACGTCCTCCCTTTTGCTGTGCGCTCTCTTGTCCGTGTGTTCTCCTAGAGTCCTATTTTTCGGTTTGGTTTGTGTAATTTCTGTAATTTGCCAGCAAGCAAAGCTGAGTTTTTGATTTTATTTCTCTTCCTGTGTCCTGCCTCTGGGTCCACAGTCTGCTTGCCACACGGCGTTCCATGACATAAACTGCTTAATGTTATAAGGAAGTAATGCAATATGATTCATTCTGAATTAAAAATAAACAGCCATTGGCCTCACTGCTGTCAGCCACCTGGAAATTTCTGCTGAGGATCAGTAAAGGTCAAAATAAGACATATGCTTGAAGCTGTAGTGCTCACAGTGTTTTCTTTGCTCCTGTCTTCCACAGCTGTGGGCTGCCCAGTGGAGAGGGGCTTTGTGTTTGATGAGTGCGGCCCCCCTTGTCCTGTAACCTGCTTTAATGTCGATGTACCTCTGGGAGTGATAGAAAGCCACTGTTTCAAGCCCTGTGTTCCAGGATGTCAGTGTCCTGCTGGTCTGGTCCTACACAACAACTACTGCATACCACAAGAGAAGTGTCCAAAGATCATTCATGGCAGCTCCTCAAATGCCACAGTTACTCAATAAGTGGACACTCACTTATAATTTCACACACATGCACTGTCACTGCATCAGCCCCATGTTACTGTATACAATGGAAACACCCATATGGAAAAGAAATAGTAAAAACATATATGATTTACTCATGAAAGTGGCCACTTTCATGAGTAAATCATATATAAATCATATAAGGATTACATGATTTACTCATGAAAGTGGCTACTTTCTCATTACTTTCATATATTTTTTTAGTAAGTATCCAAAACATACAAGTTTCATTATATAATTTTTCAAGGGATCTTATATGTGTTTTCACTCTTGTATGCTTTTCATACAAGTTTCATACAAGACAGATAAAAACTTTATAAGATTTATATCTTTTCCATATGGTCATTTCCAGATGAACCTCCATGACCTGTGGACTCCACATACTGTGTTTGTTGGTTTTTATAAATATTGTAACACTGAATATTTAATTCCATACCTAGTTTGTTTCACACATTTACTTTAACAGTATTAGCAATTATTTAAAGTTGTTTATTATGCAGGTTACATTTTTAGCACTGTGCAATGTCTGACTGTTCATACAGGAAGCCATATAATCTCAGGTAATCTTTTCCTTCTCCATTTTATAAATAAAAGTTTCACTAATATTTCTGTTGTTTCTTTTTCTGTGTTCAGAGACAAACTTGATGTTGATATTTAATCACCCATTTGGCAACACTGTCCTTTCTGCACACATTGTATTTATTTGAGTAGAGTGTATTTTAGTGAGTACACATCAGGGCAGCTACACATGTCAAAATATGTGAAATAGCCTTACAATTCAACAAATATGGTAAGCAGTTTTCAATAATAAATCAGCTTATTTCAAGGTGATTCTCAATGATCAACTGCTTATAGACCTAACCACCTCATTATTATTACCTTTATTTGACCAAGAAATCCCACTGAGGTCTCTCTTTTTTTTAGGGAGAGCTGGCCAGGCATGTTTACATTCACTTCTTTCTCTAAATTGTCCATGGTCCAGGGTGCTTTGTAAAAAAACACTGTTTTCCCTAGATATGTCATAACTTTAAGCAAATCAAAAAAAGAAACCGGCTCATATCCCTTTGTTTTCCTCTTAACAGTGATGTTTTTCTACAATAAGACAAAGAAACACAGCCACTTTACAACACTATAGTCTGTATATAAAAGTTGTATGTAGCCACAATGACATCATCTATTATTTTCTGGACTCTGGACAATTTGAAGTTTCAACAGGTGAAATGGTTAAGTGCTAAGCTATCAGATAACTAGTAAGCTTGTTAAACAAGATATATAAGGTATATGGGTTCATCACATGGAAGCAGATTCCTTTTAATTATTGATAATCATGCAAATAGTATAGCAGTATCATACAGATAAAATACTAGAATTCTACACAACAAAACTGGAGCATAAACTTCTGCAAACAGAGGTGAGACCCAGGAAGGCATACCTGTCAATCACAGCACCCACACCCCTACATTTAAGGCTTAATAAAACCCAAAATGGTTAGTTATTTTTTTAAAAAAGTTGATCCACCATACAGCTTTTGAAGAGAACAGAAGCCTAAATCACATACTAGGACTTTGTATGCCTTAAAAATAAAGTAAATAAATCATTTGACACCACAGACTTTAAAATAAAGACAACACAACACTAAAAGGCATGGAGCCACTGACTTTCACTACGTGTTAAATGTTACAGAGCACTACACTCAGGTGTAAAGCATCACGTGGTCATGTATCACCTTTCACTCTCTGACAGATACACTGTCACTTTTTGTTGCTGGTAAGCTGATCCAGCTGTTTCCCAGAGGACTGCCGTAACCATAGTAATATGCTGCATAATTTATCAACCTGAAAACATGGAGCAGGTAGGATACTTTGCTGTGGCTGTGTGAGAAATGCATTTGTTTTCCTTTTGTATGTACAAGGTTGAATTGAATGAACTGAAAATAAATGTAATTACAACCATGTGCTTTGCTTCAGGATTACATTGCTGGTCTTTACCAGTCTCTAGGTATGTCTGTTGGCGCAGAGTTTACCCCTGAGGATGTGAGTCTCCTTTACAGCAAAGTGTTTCATTTTTCTTCCAACATCACTGAAGCACATACGGCTATGAGGAAGGTACCAGCTCACACATAATTAGACACAAACACAAACAAACAAATAGTAACAGAGTACTACGATGGGGCTGTTTGTGCTTCAGATTGCAGGAGGAGACAGTAGCTGGACCTGTATTGGTGAAAATGTTTTGGATGTTCTCTTAGAAATGGAAAGGGAAAGGGAAAAGAAGGAAATGGTACAATTTTTCTTCTTTAATATGATAATATCGTAGCTTAACTCCATAATCAAAATATTATTACTACTGCTCTTATAAATACTCTTATCTTCAGCTATACTGGGACCTCCTGCTACTAAATACTGGAAATCCCAATGCTTTTCATCACACGATGGATTCCCTGCTCCAGAATACAGACCTTAATACTTTCAAAAAGGCATACACCTCAGATTTAGGATCCCTACAGCAGGTTGGTACAGGTATGTACTTGCAGAACTGTACACTTTCTCCTGCATTAATGCAGTTCATTATTTGCCCTCTTTTGCTTTCCGCAGATCGGAAGATGGGGAGGGGGGAAAGAGTTCTCTGGGAAAAAGACATGTGTGAAAAGGCTCAAAAAAGCAGCCAGGCAGTACTGGGCTAGGTGAGCATCTTTTATTGAGGGTGAGAAGTTACTCAGTTTATAGCAAAATGTGTTATTTTAATATTAAATTTGTACATGTATTGATTTTTATTGTGTGTATGTATGAACCACATAGTACACGGTTGTTAGACTTACAGCCACATCACCCAGATTACTGTGTTGCATGTGTGAAAAGCCAAAGATTAAAGAACCTAAAAGGAGCAAAATTCGTAACTGCTTTTTCTTTAATACCCTAGTCCTTGTGGCAAATCTGTGCATTATTCAATAATATTAAATTGTGGTTTGCATGTAGCACAACAAATCGCTAAAGCAAGTAGAAAACAACTCGGTGACTGAAGCTTAACTGGGTGTACTGATGTGAGCAACAATTGTATTGCCAGTTCACACAGCTTTTTACTAAGGAGGATGTTTTATCTTTCAGAGGTTATTCAATATTACTTAACCTGAGTATTAAGGAGCAACTGAGCATTTCAGAGATATACAGTTTTCTAATATTACAAACCACCCCTTTATAGTGAAGTGCTTACTTGCAATAGCTATGTTGTTAATGTGTCTGCTTCTACTAAGATTGGCATCACAGGGTGTGTGGAGCATACTGCCCTCTACATGGCAGAACCAAAGTCAAAGGATTACAGGCCAGGCGTGGGGCCATGTCTCCTTGTCAGACATCCTCCTCTTGGTGGATGTCAAGTATGATGTGGTCACTCAATTGCTGTATACAGAAATGCTTCAGGAGCACCATAGTAAGGAAATGTTCCTCTACACTGTCACCTAAGTACACCTTAATCACAATGAAGGAGTCTGCTTTGGATGCTTCATGTTTCTGTCATTACTTCTTTGTTGATCCACAGCTAAGAGCGTCTGGGAGATGATGCCGACATGGCAACAGCATCAGGAAGTAGAACAGTTGGAGGATCGTGCAGATGAAGCTTTGGCATCTGTTGATATGCTCAGCTTAGCTGAGCTGCCAGGAGCTTTCAGGATGTACAAGTAACACACATAGATCATGTTTTTGCTACTTTGCTTGAGTGTTTGAACTTGGCTACACTGCCACTGGTCGGGGATATAAGGAGTCAGTGTGTTATCCAAAAACTAAAAAAGGATGTGCATAAACAACTTTGTTAAATAGCACACGTAACGGCAAAGAAAATGGTTTATCAAAACAGATGGGTTCATTTGTAGATCCATCAATTTTCCTGACTGCTTATTTAACTAAAGGGTTGAAAAGGGATAGATCCCATCTCAGGTGGCATAGGCCAACAGGCAGGATACACTTTGGACAAGTTCAGCACAGGGAGAACAAAAAGCGACAGACGATTCACACTCACATCCATACGTACTGGCACTTTAGGGTCTACTATTAAGATGGCATTCATATATTTGTATTATGTCTGTATTATGGATGGAAAACATTTAGTTTGATTCATGTTAAGCCAAAGCACCATGGTAAAGCTTATTTCCCTTCAGGGCCTGTATGAGTGCATCTTTTAGAAGTTGTCCTGAGCAGTTCTGGTCTGCCGTTTCTCTTCTGAATGAGTTGCACAAATTTTGTCAACAAGAACATGATGCACTTACAGTCCTGCATGAGAGGTAAATTATTTCAAGTAGTTTCATACATTTGACTTAAGAGAGTTTTTTGGGGGGAAATACCACCATGAAACCCTGAGAGGGAAAGGGTTGATTCATCAATCTTTTATCTTCCAGGCTCCATGGGGAGAGCCTGAAACTGTTGTGTCTGTACGTCAGGTTGGCAACTATTAGAGCTCAGAGAGAGAAACTTTCCTATACAGCTCTTCTGGCTGCTCACCAGTCCTGGGAGACATGGTGAGCCAAAACAACACTCAGAGTATACAACAGTTTGTATTCACAATCATCAAGTTTTCATATCCTTTGTGTACTGTCTTTCCATTCAGGCCACATGTTAACGGTCCACGTAGAGCAGAGCAGGCCTCCTTGTGGCTACATGGAGAAGCACAAGAGAAAGAGTATGACTTTGAGACAATAGAGCAGGTATTACAAATCAGACTGTGGACAGCAAACTCCTGTTATAATATTGCTCTCAGATTATATACATGATTTTTTTTAGTGGGTTAACATTACTTTTATAAGTAATAGAGCTACATTTTTGGTCCACTTATAGCAGTCAGTGCTGCAGCTGCTGGTGCTGACTCAAGAGGAGGAGAGGAAGCAACTTATCACATTAATACATGGAATCTCCATAAAGGATGTGCAGGCACCAGCATTCACAGTGCCTCCAAAATATGGTAATAAATAGTTTTATTTTTCCCAGCAGAATTTATTTAGAATTTACTTCTTTTTGATTTCCATCATTTCTCCACTTCATTATCTTCTTTCCTGTTTCCTCGACAGACAATCATCATCAAGTTCCTTTGAGGAATGGCTGTATTAAAAGGCTGCATCAAATTCATGCTTGGTTGCAGGCACACAGTGGTACTCAGAGCCCTCTACAGCAAACTAACCCTGAACCACAACCGATGGCCCAGCTCAAAGTGCAGGCCTACAGAGAATGGTCCCAACTTCTCCTGGAAGACTGTGCCCTGCTTCTTCTAACCCATCTAACAGAACTTCAGGAAGTCCAAGCTTCTGCTTTACTGCAAGCGATGATGGATGGGGTGAGTCGAGGCAATCACAACATACAAGTCAAAGCAAGAAAACCTACAAAAGGCTGTAATGTTAATAGTGGTGCATCTTGTCTCTTTGTTTAGAATGCACAGCTTCTCCAGGCTTTGCGGGATAAATATAAATCTGAATTTCAAGCTCAGTGCTTTAGCAACCTGCTCCACCTCCTGATCTCAGATGCCCCCCTTAGTTCAGGCTCTATGTTAAATCCTTATCCAAACTTTACTGAAACCAGCAGCAGCAAGCAAATCATAGTTCAGTCCTCTTACACTGGACAGGCAGAAGTCCAAAACATGAGTGGGGGATCAGCTGAAGCTGAGACGGTTGATTCAAGCAAAAGCAGCAACAGTGTAGTGAATGAAGTCCAAAATGCGGATGGGACTTACAAACACGATTTCTGTTCAGGTATTAAAAACATTTAATAACTAATTATCCTAATAAAATAACATATTCCTAAAACTGTGGGAATAATATGCTTTGAACTCCAACAGGTTGTGGAGCAGTCATGGAGGACCTGCCCTACTTGGAGATCCTGTGTGTGTCAGATGCTCGTGAGGGTCTTGCTGCAGATGGAGGAGCCAAAGAGGAAGCAGAGGGCAGTGAATTAAAGAGCCCCCAGAGCTGTGAGAAACAGGGCTCTTTAATCACCCTCGCCTGGAGCAAACCACCAGAGGATGACATATACAGCGCAGCAGAGCCTGCAGATGGGTGTACAGGAGAGATTCAGGATGGTGCAAGAAGTCTGAAGACGCAAGCACGGCCTACACAATGTGATGTGTCAGATCAAGAGAGAGATGGAGAAGAGCTGAAACCTACTGGGTTGAAGTCTGGTACTCCAGATCACTGTGACACACAGTCTGCAAACCAGCAGTGCAGCACAGTAGAAGAGGTACTTCATAAGAGTGTAGCAGAACGTAATTCACTGTGACTGTCACTGAACTCATGTGTTCACTTTCTGAATTCTTATTAGCTGGCCTTCAGTAACAGACAAACAGCCGACCAACCAAATGAAGGAGAAACTGTATTTGAATGTGGCTTACAAACACATGCTTTGGTGGCAGAGAGCAAGGAAGCCGCACAGCCACACCCTATGGCTGATTCCTCTGAAGCTAACCCACATGCAGACGACTTCTGCTATGGGACATGCAAGGACATAACTAATGCTGACAGGGATGTGACTGAGGTGGAAACAGAGTCCAAGCAGTGGGACATGACAGACCCTGAACTTGATCGCTATAAGGAGCAGAAATACTGTCCAGAAGAAACAGTAAGAGTAGTCTTGATATATTCTAGTTAGATCGGTTCTCATTTAAAACATACAACCAGCTATTTTCCCACCATGTTCCAGGTAGACTGTAGCCTGTCAGAGTGTAAGGCAAAGAAGGAAGCTTCTCTGATGGAGAGAGAACGAGTGAGCGAACCGGTGTCTGCAATGGAGAGAGAGAGGACAATGCGCAACCTAGTGGACATGCAAAGAAAAGTTGAACAAAGGCAACAGAGAGACAGAGAGAGGCAACTGCTCAGGGTGAGACAAGGTGTAGAGAGGGACACTGCATGCTCATGACTCAGAAATGAAAGCAGAATTGATGTTACATTGTTAGCATGTCTTTCAGGTTCAGGAGCGCCTGTCAATCATCCAGAACAGAAAGGCAGAGGAAGACCTGCTTGGCCTGAAACACACAGACAGGATAAAGCACCTTACTCAAGATCTACCACTGGTAACTACATATTGAGGAACTGTATACTTAAAAAAAAAACAAAAAAAAAACAACGAATTAACATGCTATCTTATCATCATATTGTCTACTTTTTAGGAAGATAAGAACAAGCAGAAGACTGTTGTGAAAGAGCGTCTGGAGCAACTCAGAAGAGAGCGCTCTTATGTCATGCAGTCTAAAAGAGATAGGTAAATGACACCCTCTTGAATCTGCCAGTCAACACCAAATTAATATTGACCGCATTTATTTCAACACTATTTTTTAATCCTTTAGAAATACCACAGGGTTTAAAGAACTCCTGGGTCCAGTTGCCCTCCAGAGCAGAGACACGGAGGATGCAGAAGACTGAGTCACAACACAGTCACAAAAATACCAACAAATGTACGCTTTTCTTATTTTGAATATATTGAGGCACCAATTGTCTAATGTGTTTAGGTTTAATGGTGCAGATTTTCTATCAGCAGTATTTCCTTTTGTTCGGGGTTGTAACAAAACTTATACAGAATGCTCAGAAACCAGTACAGGTTGTACATATGAAAACAGAACAGCTCAATTAACTTGCAGTCATTTATTGTACAGTTTAATCATAATCTCAACAACCATAAGCATCAACAATAATGTAATTTACCAATGACCCTTGTGTACAGACTATCCCGTGGGCTAAATTAAATACACAATGAGTCACAGAGGTGCGTGATAACAGTCTACAGTGGCTCCATTAACTTCTCTTCATCTGAACATAACATTTATTACCATTATGTAAGAAAAAAAGTTGTGGCTAAAGAAAGACACTGCTGTTGACTCTGAATGCACCTGTGGAGTAGGACTGTATTTATTTACAGGTATATGGGGGTGGGACTCTTATAACATGTTGAGGGACAAAGGTTTGGCTAACAAGAATAGGGAGATATGTATAACATAGAGGGTTTGGTGCAGGCTCAGTGGTTTTCCTGCAAGCCAGGAGAACTTCTCAGTCCTGGTGAGAATAAAACTGTCCATGTGGGGAAGATTCTCAGCAAATAAACATTTTTTCTCCTTCCCTAACTTTATATAATATCCACTCACACTGCAGTCCAATATAAAGCAGGAATACCTACCACCCTAATAAGCCGGAACATTCCACAGCAGCTCCCACACACTGAGCCACTGCATAACACACATACAAGTAGTATACAAGTTTGACCTCCACTCAAATGAACACAAAACTTCAAGTTCAGAGGTCTCAAACACACTAACCCCCCGCTTCAGACATGCAATTGTTTCCATTAATCAACTGAACTTGTCGGCTTCATGTCTGAACATTGATCGTCTCTCTTCAATAATGGCAAGACTGTGAATGTGCATGTGTCTTGAATCAGTAACGACTATAATTTGAAGAGTTGTATATGATGCTTTTTTCCTGATCCAGAAGAGAAATGTTTGTCCCTGGGTGGATGTGTTAGGGGAAGGGTACAGCTCTCCAAGGAGCACCATGCAGTACAAATACAGAACCTGCCCCTTTTTACACTATTGGAGAGAACTAAACATTCGAAAATTTACTTGTCTTCAATTAAAGAACCTTAACTAAAGTGCTATACATCTGCACAGCATAATTTTCTCACTTTAAAGATTAATGAATGTTATCTCTGTCTGAATGTCTGAAAAGGGGCTTATCATTCACACCTACATAGACAAAAAACAGCTTACATATGAGAAAAAAACAAAACAAAAAACAAATGTGCCTGGCAGGCAGGTAACTTTAGTCAGGCCTTTAATATGTGTGTGTGGCAGCTAGGAACTGAACAGAACCAGCAAATCCCATTTTCAAAATATGACACGTATAATCAGGTTAGCGCTGATGGGAGCAGGGCACTTTAATAGTGGTGACACACTGAAATTGAAACACCTGTGGTGCCAGATGTTTATGTAATGTCTGGACCCTAGTTTTACACGGGCAAGCTCTTTAGCAAACGGCAGCATGCGCTTGTGTGTAAAAGATTTTAAACTATACCTTTTACAAGACAGTCAACAAAAATTGAATTTTATACATTACCTTTCATTATAGGAAAGACGAGTCTAAACATTTAGGATGAAAACAAAGGGATCTAAATCATGTTAATTCAATAAACCTCTGAAAATGGGGCCACCTTCCTGCTGCTGGCTTTGAAGAGCACTACTGTTCATAAACATAAAATGATCATAACACATCCAGGATCACTGTCTTATGGGCACCATGGAGCTGAACGAAGGGGGGGAATTTTGTGTGAGACTAAAATTTTTTATATATATATATGACTTTTGCATAGTTGTGGGCTATCATGCAGACAAAATCTGTTGAGGGGGGGACTTTTGTGTGTGACTTAAATTTTTTATATATATATATATATCGTGTTAAAAATATATGTCTCCAAGTATTAAAAGTGTTAAATAAAAGTAAATATATACATTTTATGGAAGTATGAATAGCCAAAAATAAAGTGCACAAATTGTGCAAACACGCTTGTAGTCTCTCACCAAGCTTGGAAATTGTGGATTTGCCGAAT